TGAAAAACAAAATCAGCTGATTTCTCAAAAACCCCATTTTTTCCCGAACTATCTTTTTGTTAGCATGGAACCCATATTTTATCACCAATATTAAGATAATTATAGAGTGTCTCTTTTTCTTCAGATTTTGTTTCGGCACCAGGTGTACACAGTGAGTCTCGGTATAGCAGATGTCTAATAAAACTCTCAGTTTAACGGATCAAAGCTCAGAACTGTCTATAAGTAAATTCTCTCAGTTTAATGGATTTACTAATTAAATGTTGAATTAATCTCGGTATAACGGATTTTTGAAATTTTTGTTCTAATTGCCCAAATTATCTGCTATACTGAGACTCACTGTGTAAATGTTCTGATATCTTTGTTTGACTCACAATCCAAAACTTGACAATAATAATTAATAGAATGATAATAGTAAAAATGCTAAACTATACTTTGAGAGAATGTGTTGATAATCATCATGGTCCGCCTCCATTTCATGAACATTAGAGTTCCCAACATCTTCTGGCTGTGTATCATCATAATCAGGCATCATAATATGCAATATGTGATGGTTTATTCTGCTTGTTTCAGTTTCATCTATAGTGTTCAGACATGTTTGTTTGTCCACTATACTGATGGCAAATTCAAAGCAATCGGAACGATGGATGGTCTTCAGATTTACTGAGAACATAACGGGGGATCTCCCACATGTCATAGAGTCCTTTAACATTTTCTATGTCAAGGTGTGTGAAACAAACTTTGTGACAAGTATCAATCTCCTCCCAGGGTCATACCAGCATAAAACAAGTAGTAAATATTTACAACGATTAGGTGATGATATTAAAATTGTCATTGCTGGTAAAAGGTCTCCTGGGTCATAATCATCACAGACAAACCACACATTCTTGTTTGCAAGTTCTAAAAAATCCTTCATGCTAGTACTTGCACAGAATTCTTTTCTTGAAAATAAATGGTATAACACACTATCTTTGTCCGATAATACAGTAATGTCTGTGGGAAAAATTTAAGTTATCTTTAAATGTTGGTTGGAAATACGGTTCAAGCAAACAACAGGAACTTACTTACCTTGCTGCAACAAGACCCAAATAGTATATCAATTTTCCAATGCCGGGTTTCTGGTTATTACAAAATAACCATCAACAGAGGTGATCTTAGTTAATTCTTTATAACATTTATGAACAAAGAACCTATTTCCCAAGGATTCGTCCCCGTGATTAATACTTCAAATGAAAAGCTATTATCACAAGAAGAGTCATTCAACACATTCCAGAATTCAGGACCAACTAGCTACATATATACCAAATACTTTTTTTGAACATTTACCAGATCTAAATGAAAGGAAATGAATGGAAAATATTTTATATGTATATATATTTTTATGCAATCCACTCCCTGGACAAAGATTCGGTCTTCACAAATCAAATAATTCCACAAAAAGTACATAATAACAACATACTAAATTGTAGCTAAAGTTTTCTATGCACAAAAAATTTAAAGTTGCTGTGATGGCTAAACAAAAAAAAAAATAAAAAATCTGGCCAAAAATATCTGCCAAAAAAATTTAATTGTCCAAAAACTTACATAATAACCATGCCTAAATTCTGGTATGTTATAAAGAAAACTTGTTTATATTCTTACATTTTTTTGTTTACTTTTAAAAAAAAAATTAACTTTCGCTAAAATTAAAAATTAAATAAAAAAAATGTCAAGTTAAAAAATTGAACATAAACAAATAATTGGACTTTACAGAGGAGGTAATGCTATTTCATATATTTCTAAATCACTTGACTTTGCAAGACAATTGTGGTCAGAACAATGAAAATCTTTCAGGAAGGGTAGTGTTGAAAAGTGGATGTCCTAGACTTTTGGATGCGAATTAGTCGAAAAAATTGTTAAAAAGAGAATCAATTAATACTGTATATCCGTATATATAATTTAGGAATTACCCTGTACTATTACCCTGGTGTTAAATGTTGTGTAATGATTATGCATACACTACAGTCAGGATTTTTTCCAAATTTGGAATTACCAAATATTGCAATGATCAACATCCTAAATAGTAAATTCGCACTACGTAAAAATTTGATTGGCTGAAATTCCGCCTTTTTCTCCTTTTCTTTTCTCAAAAACTCACATAATATGAAAAAATTTAACTGTTCATAGAAGGTCTCATGGATGTGTGTTCCCATAATCCATCAAAAAACCCATGAAGTTCTATTCAAATAAAAAATTAAAAAAATTAAATATTTGTTTAAATGGATTTTGATGGGTTTTTTGATGGATTATGGGAACACACATCCATGAGACCTTCTATGAACAGTTAAATTTTTTCATATTATGTGAGTTTTTGAGAAAAGAAAAGGAGAAAAAGGCGGAATTTCAGCCAATCAAATTTTTACGTAGTGCGAATTTACTATTTAGGATGTTGATCATTGCAATATTTGGTAACTCAAAATTTGGAAAAAATCCTGACTGCACTATAAATGAAAGCATAATAATAATAATAAATTTTGTTGGAAAAAAAAATTTTTCATCGTCTAATAATAACAGGTTCTCATCCTTGGAAAATATCACTCTCTTATTTAACAACCTTTGCACTTATAATTCTCTCCAATTAAAATATTTTAATAAACTAGTAAATGATTTTTCAAAATTGTTGGATAATTCAGATTATTATGATGTAGAAATTAAAGTTGGAACAGAAAAGGATGATGTCAAAATTTTTAAAGCTCATTCAACTATTTTAAAAGCAAGATCCTTGTACTTTAGAGCAGCTTTATCTAATAATTGGGTTGAAAAATCTGATAATGGTAATATTTTATTTGAAAAAGAAAATATTTCCTAAAGCTCCAAACGGTTCGGTTTAAACCGAAATTTTCGGTTCGGTTTCAGTTCGGTTCGGTTTCGGTTTTTAAAAAACCAATTCGAAAATTTTCAGTTCGGTTTTGGTTTGGTTTTGGTTTTTAAATTATTATTGAACACAAAAAAAAATTTTTTTTTCCGATAATAAATAAAATATATATATTAATATATTAATATACAGTATATAATAATCAAAAAAAAAATAAAACATAAAAAAATAAATAATAATAATTAATGATTAATTCCTCTCCTTCAATTTTACCGTTAGTTATTGATTTCTTCATGAATGAACTACATAACTCTCTTGATAATAATTCACCTGATAATAGTTCTCCTATTTATAGTAGTGAAGAAATTGAAGACATCCGGAAAATATAAAAAAATTTTACACATGTCAATTGTAAGTTTAATAATAAAAAAGTGTAAAACTTACGTCGGCACTGTAAGATTTACACAATATTACGTCGGCATCGTAAGATTTATGCAAGTTTACGCTAAATTAATTTCCTGATGGAGGTAAAGCTCCGAACGGGTTGGTTTCGGTTTGGTTCAGCTAGATCTTCATATTTATATTATGAAATTTTCACTCTCTCTACAATGAATTTTCACCTTTGTTTGTTATAGAAGATGTTTGTTATACATGCAGAGCTATTTAAACCGAAGTCAAAAAAAAATCTTCAGTTTTAAAAAACCTTAATAAAACCGGCTTATAGAGATGATTTTTAATAAGTAGATAATAAAAAAAATTGGTTTATCATGTGTATTTATTTTATCAAAGCATCGTCTTGTTAAGTTCTGAATGTAGAGAAAAATTAATTATAAAAAAAGAATCAGGGAAGTCCATTATTATTATTATATGAACGGGTTTTCTCTGGGGGTAGAGACTTAATTAATCAAAGGCGATGTAGTTTAGAGCCTAAAACAATAAGAATTTGTATGTGTTTAAAAAGCTGGTTGCGGCAATGAATTTGTTTTAATAAATAAATAATAATAATTTGTAAACAGATCTTTGTTACCATAGTCGAACCTTGTTATAAAGAAGTGTAACCTAATTAAATACATGTTATAATGACTTTTAACATTTTTGAAATCCGTTATAACGTGACTAATAAATTTGTTATTATTATTATTATTATTATTATTATTATTATAACAGATTTTAAATGTCTAAAATCCTTTATAACTTCATGTATATAGAAACAGGATCCTTCCAGCATTTTTACTTCGCAACTAAGGTTGTGGGCGAAACCTCTTAATGACCGTTGAAACTCTGTCGAAACTCTAATGAACAATTAATGTGTAACCTGTCAAAACTATGATGATTGGTGAAGTTGTATTTCGACTAAATGGTATAATGTTCCTAATGTTTCGAGGATGGCAAATTAGAGAAAGTTTTTT